AACCGCTAACCCAGTAACTCAGCTCCCTGCTCGAATCGCAGCAGAATCTTACTATCGTTCTACGTCCACAATATATAATAGCGAGCAACCGGCAAGTAGGTGCTTGGGACTAAGTTGCATAATTTATTGGAGCCTCTTTTCATATGAGCATAGTTGTCATTATATTACGCTCTGAACTCCCTTTAGAGTTGGTGACCCGGCGATATATTGGATACTTCCAACGTGCAGAAGATTTGATTGGCCCCCATCAATCGCCCGCTGTTAAGGAATCCCGTAAAGTTGAAACGGCAGCGTAGTACATTAATTGATGTAAAGGGTGGTTGTGACGAAAGGCATTTGAGGATTAAATCCAAAGCCAGCCATTTACTACTCTCCAAAGTTAGCTCCTTTGTTGAGTTTGTCTGATATAAAGGCCTCTCGGTAACTTGCTTGAAATACAAAAGAAGCAAAATGAATTAACGCAAATGTACAACATGCTGCTTACCAACAAGTAAAATGGCAAAGCCGCTGTTCTCGGAGTAGTCTACTTTAGGCATTTTTCAGCAGCCTCCGACTGGATTTCACCTCACAAATGAAAATCGATACTCTGTTCCCCGCTGCTTTTGTATGGCGCACTTTTCCCAAGTCTAGACAAGTAAAAATAAAGTTGTTGTTGTTTGTGGTGGTATGGGACCATAAGTTATGCCTCTCACAGTGACGTGGCTAAACCAGAGTATTTCATGCAATCAGCTCCTGAGGTCCGTGTTGCGCATCCTTAACAGCATTTGCAAATGAATGGTGAGGGAGGGAGATAGATATTTCTTCTTCATACATTTGCACAGGTTGTTTTACAAGAATAAAAGTGAGACCGACTTGGGAATATTTGCGTGTTGCTCTTCTCAACACTGGCACACCCCGCTAGCGATTTCGTCCTGCTTTAGACTCGTCAGGTGGAGATAGCCCGAGCTGGGTTGGAACTCAGAGCTTAGTAGTTCACTGCTGACGCCTTGAACACTACGCTACTGAGATCCGCCAGCAACGCTTGTCACAGCGGAAAGTAATTCAAAGCTGTATGGTTCGTTTGCGACTCACAACCTCTATTGAGACCCTCACTTTTTGCTAAACCTCGGTCATTCCGATCTTGAGGACCGTATCCTGAATGTATCGGAATGACCAAGGTTACCTAAAAGTGAACCGGGGTCTCAATAGAGGTTGCCAGTCGCAACCCAACCACACAGCGTACACCATAAATTCAGCTTTGTGAGACCGAGTTCTTCAGTCTTCCTGGAATGCGAAAGGTTCACACTATGGTCCATGCAGTGTTTAAGCGAACTTTTGGACAAGTAAGAATGTAAGGGCCATTTCAAACACAATGGCAACTTCCGTGCAAAGGTTGACTACTGTCTCGAGTTGACCGTTCGATAGTATAGGTTGGGGCCAACGACCTTGGGTGGTGTAGCGTGTAATTGGTTGACAACCATGTGCCTGATTCAAACCGAACATTAACGTGGCCAATGTGAGGCAAGTATGTTTCGACTTGTAGCAGATGGTTGGAATGTGCTAACTCAGCCGTCCTGCGCTATTAGTAGAGTGACGGCGTAGGGTGCTGGAGGAATATATGCACCGAAGTATCGTTACAAAAGCAGGAGAACAGCTGGCTGTCCTAAAAGTATAGTTTTTTCTAAAGTCATAAATAAAGATAGGTAAGTGTACAGGTGTCGGATGCCACCGGGTCTATCATGCTGAGTAGGTCTTATGCAATCTAGCACACACGTACGCTGCATACAATGATTGAAATATTTGATCTTGGTATTTGCAGAGCGCGGAGTGATTTTAGATAAGTGGTGATAGCAGTAAATCCCAGATGGTTAAATGAGAGCAACACTGATGGGAATGTTTCATGGCATGACTGTAATTGACATTAATGTTACCATGCAATCGTTTGCGGACGACATCGTATTGGATGATACAACCTCAGTAAACATGCCCAAAACAGTTAGAGGATAAAAATGGATGTTAATATTCGCCTCTAAAGTTATTTTTGTTACTATCAGATGTGAATTTATGTAGACTATAATATCCTTTTACTAACCTTGTTCAGTGTTTCGAATACCGATATGTTTAGTTCAGAGCGTTTACCAAAATCTCTGTATTTGAGAATCGCGCTTCAACAGAAACAGTACTGATGAACGAAGTTTTGGATCCGGTTGTAGTGAGTAAGGTTCTAACATTGGGAAATTCTACTGGAAAATAGTTGTTCGCGAACATCACAGGTAGTGCTCCACCGAGAGCATTTATTTTGTTCCACTTTCGATGTGGTCGGAACACCGTATTTTTCTGACGGCTTATGGCAATCCCTGATTCATCAGAATGTGTAGATAGCTATCACAGGCATTGTGCAGCAACTTTGCGCAACCCAAAAATACGTACTTGGTGGTGAGGCAGAAGCCGCTGACCGTAGACATTTGCGTACAAACGTGTGCTTTAGGTTTATTATTCAAAAGAGGAAGCTGACAGTCGGAATACTGATGTGGGTTAGGTTTTAAAACATAAAACAGATAGATGACAGGAAGATTGCACCAGGAATATTATAGGAAGCATGTAGCCCAGGTAGTTTTATTACACTGAAACATAGTAAATAAGAAACAATGCGAGAAGTCGATGATCCAGTATGCCAAAATATGTGACATGCTTAGGAAGACACACGTACTGTTTGCGGATTATTCAAGGATAACAGTGGATTGGTGACACATCTGATCCTCATCATGATATTACAACGTTTACGAAATGCATTAATAAGTGCCTTAGAAACATAATGATCCTGATTAATCACATTTCCTTTTAATATATCGTCCCCCAGAGTTGCTCAACCATTAGTTTGCGCATTATTGAAAACAAACATACTTTTATCCACCGTCCTACGCTCCCTTCGGCTGTCTTCGCTGCGAAAATTGTGACCCACAACTCAGGTGAGTGTAGGACTTTTCCACTGCTTTACTATCAACGTGCTACTTAACCTCTCTTCTGTCATACGTATAACAGCCTAAATGGGTCGCTTTATACTAAAGCCTTAAGTTGCATTGCGCTTATCGGTAGCCTTCACCCATGTATATATGTCGGACGTCCCTTACCATGTTTCAACTGCTGGAAATATGCGAATCCTGGACACTTGGCTACTCAGTACACTACAAAAAGCACCTGCGAAGGTTATGTATCAAGCATTTAATATGTAAACACTGCCATTAATTATGGTGAGCGTTACAACGAATTTCAACTCGAACCACTGGGTTCAGCGATTGAAACAGGACGTATTGCTACTTTTTAACATGCAACCTAAAATGACCTATTCCGATCTGCCTACATTCGAACTGAAGCACACTTCAACCTGCGAGCTCCGCAATAGGTGTGTGTACAGGCACTCGGTCAAAGAGCTTCCTGGTCGAGGTATAACTGTCTAGAACAGACTTCAATTACACTCAGTTCAGGTGATACGGCGGCCACTTTTAATGACAGACTCCCATTACAATACATACAAGAATACAATAATAACTGTATTCCCATCGGAATAATTTCTCGATTAGCTTTTAGAAACGTGGTACATAAACTTCTAGACGACTACATTTTAAAACCTTAGCTTTTGCGTAAGTCACCCACCAAAACGCTATTACATGAATCGCATACACTAATACTGAACCTACGCATCTCGCTCATGTAACAGCTTTCTTACGATTGTACATACTGGTCCGTGCCATTGCAGACACAGTTTTTTGGGCCATGAACAACACAGATATTACTATTATTATAACATGCCGTTTAAGTGTATTTTACTTGTAGGGCCTTACAGTTATTTTAAGAATGTAGTTTGCCGTGCTATCTGTTCCTTAGCTGACTATAGCACAACGAATGTTGGAATAATACATCAGCCGAGAGAGTCCGTTAAAAGGCCTTAGTAACCTTAAAAAAATAGAAGGTTAGACAAAAGAAAATGCTCAGTGGATTTCTTCTCTTATATGGTACATCCTGAGAAGGTGGTATGAAAGGTAGCAAAACTCGCAGACACTCAGTAGTCCATTTCAATCAGCATGAATTTTGCTTTTCCAGTTTAGCGTTAACTAAAGAGTAATCTACATTTTTCGTGACGATCATTTCTTTTGGTTAACGAAGTTTTGTATACCTATGAAGTGGTAAGACGAGGGTTCCACGATGCGATCGCGTTTGTTTTGCCAATGCAATACGCTTCAGTCTAACACAGTGCAGCTTGGGTGTTAGAGTAACAACATGCAAAAGCGCTTGATTGGAATAGATTCAGTAACTCATGAGAATTAAACGAGGTCAACAGTTCATACACAAATCGTGGTTTCGAAATCCAATAGTTGTTTCTGTTCACAAGTACCACAACTGCAGAAGTCTAAAGGAAGAAACAAGAAAGCACCACTAATGAGGCTCCGGTATCAATAGTTGCTAATGGGAAGTCTTTAATGTTGTTTTCTTTTCAATTTCCACAGAAATTTGCAAGCATCCGCCTGTGTTAACTATGGGAGAGAGATCACGAACGAATGTGAGTTGAACACTATAGTGTCCACGCTTCATAATTGCTTTAGCCTTGCCAGCGACGATACACGTATTGTTTCGATCTGTATTTCATGTACTCATCCCACAAGTTTCACGAGTTGACAAGGACGGTAGTGCACTTTTGCACAAGTGTTAGGTACTTTCTAATTCCAATGGGATCATCACTAGTTGTTTGAAGCATTTCAGTCAACTGATAATATTCGCTGGTTTCAACTACTGATTCACTCAGATATGCTCGCAATTGATTGGGGAACCCTCATGTTACGGCAAACAATGATCGATGTACATGCAACCGTAAGCGTTTAATTTGGAACATCAAGCTGATTTCAAGGCACGTTGATCCAACCTATGTTTTTATTTTCCCAGTCTACATAAACCGTTTGCTTCCTGAACTGAGTCAAGGCTTGCATAGCAATGCATCTACTGTTTTGATTGCGACATTCTAGGTGATGTGTCATCGTCCGGAATTTTCAGAGTATCCATCCGCGTAAGTAGCACTCCATATCAAATTTGTAATATCATTATCAAACTACTTCCCAGAAACTGTGTAAGCAGCAGCAAGCATTTATAACTATAGGAAACGATTTCCGTAAGTACCCACTAAAGCGCAGGTGTGAGACTTTGTTCCAATCTCTAATAAACTGAACGTGCTTCATTTAATTCTTTCAGATATCATCTAGTTTGCGGGGTTTGGCAGTTAATCCTTGTCATCACAGCAAGTAACTTCGCTGCTATTAACAGTTGAGACTTTAATAACCTCAGGGCATAAAAGAGAGATACATTTTGTTGCCGCCCTCTTAGTAACAGCGTTGTACATTACCCTAGTGTATCTATGTCGCACCATTCATAGCACAGATGGGTATAACCCACCAACTCAGGTACTCAAGTTCTGCCAGTGAACAGGTAATCAATGCCTTCATATACAAAAGTGATTTTGAAAGGCGCAGTAAGAAGACGAAGACTGGCAAATGCACGCATTTCGTATTGTCTCATCAGTGCCTTTACCAATAACTCGCAATAATATTTATTCAGTGAAGGGTGCGACCAAACATAGATGCAAACGGACAAATAGACCAACACGTGATAAGTGAGACAGGGTTATCACCCCTATCCCCAGGGCAGTCTAATGCTGATCGATAATTGTTTCTGAACACAAAGCATCGGCTTAATCCGGTTAATTGCAATCGCCTCTGCGAAAAGGAGGAGGCGAGAACTGGTGTGCTGTAATAGGATTGTAAACGCCGAATTGACCTCGACTCGGTGACCTGTGGTCAATAGGTGTCGGCCGATCGAAGAGGCTGGTGGCTTACGCAGACAAGCAGCTTGACTCTGGCCAGTTTCCTGCACGGTCGAACGTTGAACCCACTTAGGTATATGCTCCTTCATTCGGGAACTCAATGTTCTATCGGTCCTGTCTATGTAACTGGCGCCGCAGTCACAACTGAATTGGTAAATGCAATGCGATTTGGCCCCGATAGGCTGAGCCTCCTTCACAGAAGGAAGTGGCAGTTTTTGGGTTTTGTTAATGATAACGACCTTTGCGGTATAGTAAGTTGTCTGCATGGCACAGATCAGACGCCTTATGGTCCTCAACAAGGAGACGTCACCTTTGCATGGCAGTTCAATGATTACAGGCTTCTTAGGTATCGTGTGAACTAGGTCCCTTGGTCGTACTTGACTATATTTCTCGATGAACATCCGGGGGTAGCCGTTTTCGATGAGTGTGTTGGTAATCAACTGCAGTTCGTCGGTCAGGCAATCAGCAGAGCAGATTCGTCTGCCACGGCTAATCAGGGTTCTCACGAGCGTCCGCTTGTATCGCGTTGTTGTGAAGCTAGTGAACTGCAGATACTGCCTGGACCATGTTGGTTTCCTGAAGACAGACCTCTTAATCTGCCCGTTTCCTCTGCGGCTGATAAGGATATCTAAGTACGGAAGGCAATTTTGCTTCTCTACCTCACAGGTGACCCGCAAGTTATAATTCGCAGAATTTAATTGCGTTACCAACTGCTACATCTGATGCTCCGATGAGCGAATTGCCAAAATATCATCCACGTAGCGTTTGTAGTATGGAAGTCGAGATATTTCTCCAGACATACCTCACTCTACCATTAACATAAAGAAATCAGCAAGTACTGGGCCCAATGGACTGCCCATCATTACTACATCAATCTGACAGTACGGTGTGTTTCTGAAGTGAAAATTGACGTTCTCCGTACACAACAACAAAGAGTCTCTTAGTAGCTCAACTGGCATCGGTAGGGGACACCGCGAACTTTCTGCCAGTTAACAAATGTAATCAACAGTTTGGCGCAGGGGAACATTGGTAAAAAGCGATTCCACATCTAAAGAGCACATGACGTTGTCGGATATATTAAGTATGTCGAGGTCGTCGATAAGCTCCAAAATCACTATTTACTTCATTAAGCAAACTTTTCGGGGTCCAGAAGGCTGATCATTATGCATGTTTACCGTAAACTGTATGTGGACCTGTATCGGCACGTGGTTAATGTTAGAGACAATACCGTAGCAGGTGCGATAGCGTGCACAACTGGGCAACCTATCTAGAGCCTGAAGATGGGGCCTACAATGAGGAAAGCACGCACATTGAAGTTGTAACTCACTTCAACTGCAGTCTATTATAAGTCTACTATCAAAAATCTAGTGACTCGTATACTAAATTACTTCCGTCACAACCTGACTAAGCATTTGAAACTTTGGTGGCGGCCAGTAGTTTGGGCAAGCAGGACCAACACGATGATACTAAGTTGGAGGCCGGTCAATGAACAATAACGATGGTTTATCACGGTTAAATAGACATGCGGTTGACAATAGACTTGACCTTAATCAACAGATAGGGCAGAGCCGGCATACCAATGATTTTAAGCGGACGATGTAGAGGGACTAAACGAAAACTGACCAATGAAAAGATGCGACAACGGATTAAGCGATTAGCATTATGGTCTGCGCTCTACAAACTACAATGTTGTCATTGCCCACATTCAGTTTAGAATTCTGTGCAGAAACACAAAAGAAGCAGCAATGGTCGTTTTGTTTGGTTTTTTTTACGGTCGCTGCCCATGATCACAAATTTGCGCTCCAGTCGTCGCACAGTCTCCAGTGTCGCTTGTTAAGTTTGCATGTCTAGGTCTTTTGCAATTTGATCTCATCCGTTCATGAACGATTTACGTTATTCTTCAGCAGTAATTCTCTTGCTGGGTGATCCTGTTCACGAATGTCGATTAATTTTTCCTGCCGTGCGCAGCCTGAGTCGAGTTCCTCCTCAGCACAAGCAGTGCACTGGAGATAAATGCCGTTTCTGTGTTCCAGAATGAGTCATCCAATAACTGTCATCGCAGGAAAGTTGTTTCCGGCGTGTATCCACTGGACAAACAGCCTTTCATCCAACTTCCGGTTTTGTTTTATCATCCTGACTGTCTTGTTTGCAAGCAGTGTGGAGCCAAACTTGAGTAAGTTATGGTGGTTTACCAACTATCTTTGTACGTGCCTCATTCATCCGTGTTAACCGGAATCTCTTTCACCAGATCCTTTCCACTGGGCGTAATACTCAAATGAAGACAGAAATAATTAGCGAATTATGTTGGTGTAATAATAGGCAATTTTTCAACGCTTCCAAGGAAAGCTACAGCTTCTGATACATTAATTTAATTGCATAAACCACTGCAAAACAGTCCGTTTGTTCAATTTGGCTTACGCTCACTAAATCTTCTGCAGGTAAGTTTACTCAACAGCATACGATTCCGAATATCATTTGAATGCTTTGCGATTTTGCACCTGTGCAACCCATGGCCGAGTGGACAAAGCATCTGCCTTGCAACCCGAGATCACGTGTTCAAACCTGCGACCCTCGCAGCTTTCATAGCCTAGGTGCGACTGATGGTGTTCGCGTGGCCGCGTTGCGTAGACAAGACTCATGCATATTGAGATTGGAGTTGAGTAAACATACCACCCTATACCTGATTTCGCAATAAATGGTCATTATAAGAGGCATCTCGTTTAGTTACCACACGATTTCCTACTTCTACTTCAGCATATTAGTTGGCACATTGAGCCCCTGGTGAGGGGTGAGCGCTGTTATTTCTTACAGGCTATGTTGGGGACCCAAACACAACTCCTAGATACATCAGTTGCCACTGTTACTTTGTACAGAAAACAGTGGCAAATTTTTCAAAGACGTACTTTCATTATCCCAGTTCACAGGAACACAACTGATGTTACCACAACGTTGACGCCTCCGAGATTAAAAGCATTTCGTGTAACAAGCAACTGCTTTGACTCATTCGAAGGAGAATTATCGCAAACAGGCACGTTCAGACAGAATTTGCACATTTGGGAAATCACTGGACAGGGGTCTCATCCTTTCGGGAATCGGTTGAAGTGCATAATTCATATATGTCCTGTCGGATGGGCTGTGAAATTGTAGCGTATAAGCAAATGCCTATACAGTTGGGGCTGAACTTGAACTGTTGAACTGATCCATTGACATTCCAACTATTAGAAATGAAAGCCAATCTCCCACCCGATGACTGACTGAGGATCAACGAGTCCATTACAAGACTCTGCTGCCTGTTCCATAAAGCCAGTTTACCCACTAAACCAGCAGCCCAGATTGCACTCATCAGTTTAGATACCAACGTTTTACGATCTCCACACACCACCAGCCATCGCAGAGGTTCCAAAGAACAGAATGCACTGGGTTGTTACTTTTGCAGTATTCGTGTGTCTCCCCTCGTTTTGGTTTGTCTCATGCTTCGCGTTGTCCGGCTTCATCCTTCACAGCCAGACGCTGACTGTCTCTTTACTATCTCTGGTACAGTGGAAGCCCAGCATTTGCTACTAACATGGTGCCATGCAGGTGTGCATACGCTTTGATTCTGACAAAGCATGCGTATTCGATACGGAAGGAAATCATCTCAACGAGCAGCTGTGTTAGTGGTAGGTAGGTTCGGAGTCAAGTTAGTCAAAGGTATATGAAAAATTTAGCAAACATCCGTGGAAGGGAATTTAGTAGCATTTGTCTCAAGACCTTCAAAGTTTTGCTGCTTATTTTGCTCTACTCAACTTCAATTTTGGACAAAGGAGAGCCTATGAAGTTAAAGAAAATTACTTTACGAAGTAAAGTTTCTTTCATTAAAACTGTTTAACCCTATGTATCTTCGAAGTGAACGGAAGAAAAGCACATCCACGCATTCGCAAAACAACTAGTGGTTTTAGTAAACTTGAGTGAAATCCCACCTTGGCGCCAATAAAGATGTATGGGGACTTGGTTCCGAATAATCGCTATCTGCCCCAGCAATTAATTGGGCTGTAAACCTTATGTGAGATTAAACCAACAGTTTTGTAAATCGACCTTAACCGGGGCGTTAGATAAAATCACTCCTTCCTGACTATTTTTTCAGCATAAACTCATTTCAGGTCAAAGATTGTGAATTGCAAAACAAAAGCCGTTGTAATAAAGGTACGTTGTGAAGTATAATTTTGACATGAATTGCTGGCTATTATCATTGGATAAGATGCTTAAAACCATAAATGGTCCATAAACATGTACCCTCCAGGGTTGAACATCAGTGCAGTGGGCATGAGATGCAAAAAAATTCCACGATCAAGAATTACTAAGAGTATTGTTTATTTGTCGCATGTATGAGGCTGCTGGCTTGATTTCTAAATGCTTGCATAGAAAACCATTTCAGTCTCCAATTCCACAATCAGTACAATACTTAATTCCTACATCTTTTAGCTGGTATGTTGAAATTCGATTAAAGTGTACGCTGTCGTCCTCCGGTGCACACGGGCTGCTTATCCAAAAACTGCTGTTGTTAAGTTTTAAAGTACATGGTAATATTTCATTCGACCGGTTACCCTTTACTGAATCCGGTCATCCTTCACAAAGAAGCTTTCGCATTCCTGCAGTCGTCACCAATGACCCGTGTCAGAGTAAATCAGGTGCAGATGGATATCATACTCCTGGAGATGCGACACGATTTTCTATGACACCGATGCTATCGAATATGCAGTGCCCCGTTTGCGGTCCACAGCGTAAGGACTGACATAACCAGCTCCAGTGAAATCGACTGTAAGTACATTGTAACACCCAAAGGCAATCAGGGCCAAGCTTCGCTTTGGAGTGAAGGCCATTTCGGTCACTGGGGTCGCATCCGAAGCAGGTGATGGTCAGATGTGGCTTACTTGAAACACGTCTGGCTTCACACTCGTGTTCTCTGGTCATGCGGAAGCAATAGTAATTCAATGATTTAAAGCTTGGGGAGGTCTCCATCTCTGAGTCATCGAATAGTGGCTGACAATGCTTGTCACAGCGATTATTGACTAACCGGAGGGTTAATTTTAAGGCACTCGCAGTGTGGATGAACTACTACCCACCATCGCAGTCAGGACGACGCTTCGAATTAGAGTGCATCTCAGGAAATTCTGTCACCGCACATAACTGACACTGTCTGGAACCGGAAGATAACCCATGCATTCGTTTTAGGCACTACACCATATGTAACTGATGCACTGACATCTTGACATTCACAGTGATCTAGTACAAACTGCCCTCTTACTGTGGTGATGATCCGAGTCAGCAACTATGTAGTCAAATGTTCGGAAACAACTCGCAGTCTTATCGCTCAACCACTTTAAAGAAATCACTGACAGTAAGAGGAGTTGCGTCCAGTAGAGCATTAGCACGACCTCCAAGATCTTCGCTAGTCCGTTTCTTGAACATAGACACTGGGTACACAGGTGCACTCAGGATGTAGTTGGACACAACACCGTTGTGATGGCGGTATGACTCAAGTTGATGGTCAACGACCCGGCTTAAAAGAGGAGAGGATTCATTGGATGTGCACCCTTTTAAAAGTAGCAAATGATTGTATTGGCAACGTCGCACTTACCTGCATTTGAAAGTGCAAGTAGCAAGTTTCAGCAGTTGTAAACACACAGTTTTCTACCACACTCTTTCAGATGACTCGACGAATTGCTTTGGTGCCCCGAACGGGAGTATGTTTCTCCAACTAGTTCGTTTGAAGCAGCAAGATTCGGTCAAGGTATGAATCAGTCTCTATCCTTGTTAGAGTTTACTATGACAAGCGAAAAGATACCCTGAACTGCGTTATAATCTGGAAAAACTTGAATGATTCGTAATTGAATCAAGGGATCAATGGGTCAAATGAGTGAGAACCGCCACAATCGCTAATGTTTCAGTGTAGATTTGATCATACTATCTGAATAAATGTTTACTAAGAAGGTAGCAATGCTTCGACCCTCAGTTTACCTTTGCTATTACATTCCTGTGGTAGCTAGACAATGCCTGTTAGCAAATCAAAGATTGAGCAACTTTTCCTCATTTTACAGAAAACCGATGACAATCCCCAATGTGAACTATCATGCTCATCAAGCAGTTCAATGAGAACCGATGAGGAATTGACAACGGAACCTTATGGTAAAAATTACAACAGCTATGAAATGTACGCTTCCACAGACTGATGCATGCCATTACGATTTTTGACCATTTAGCGTCATTTCGCTGCTGTGAAGTGAATGGTGCCGGTGTGCAACGGAAAAGGCCGGTTGCGAAGTAACCCGTGATCACCCCGCTTCAGCGTCTACACTGTTAGCTTTGAGGCTAAAGTTTGCATTTTACTTAAGGTATTATCTGTCATATTATCTTGTGATTGTATGGATAATGTATACTGATTAGAAGCGGCTAGAAGAGATAGCTCTGTGTGGTTGCATATAAAATCAATCGATACAACGAGCTGTTACGTTAGAAGGCGTTTGAGATATTTCACATCTTCAAAGTGATCGTCCAGAAATTTCTGGAATTCCGACGCTGACTTTGCCTCAACTGCGTGCTGCAGCAAGTTGTTTCATGCAGTCACCACTCTCTGTTCGAAACAGTGTTGCTGGAGGACCCTCTTCAAATCTGGTGCTACAAGTTTGTACCGTTGTCCTCGTGGGCTGCAACGGCCTCAGCATGGGGTAATCATGATGATGAGGTCAACCCGCAATCAACGATTAGGGTGTAAAGCCCTAATCTTGCACTGGTCTTCGTACGGCACACCTCCTAAATTGGGGATGAGCTTGGTGGCCACAAGCTATACCCACTCAATCCTTTTTACCTCACTCCGGGTGAGAGGACAGTATGTGGGTGAGTCACTTTAACATCGGTCGTATAACTGAGACGAAGAATCGAGTGGCAATCCTTTCGGACCAACTACTGAAGGTGCGTTTGAGCGTTCAAAGCATTTGAAGACCGTTTTGGTAAACTCTATTCGTGTTGTCCCCTGACTTCGGGTCGCAGCGTCATAGTAGATCGAGGTTTTTCATGAAAAGCGCGGGATGCAACGGTTGACCGGAGGCAGTGTATCTTGGACTGTGTTCACAGTTACCCAGCCTCATTAATAGCGGCCTGACCGAGTTTATTAGAAGGTTGATTTCTGCGGACCACATGGAGAGGTTGTCAAAGTCCAGCTGAGGAAGGTCACGATCATCGGGTAAGCGGAGCATTCTCCACACCAAGTCATCTGCAAACAGCGTACAAAGCGAATGGAGTACCTGAGGCCCATTATTTACATGGATCAGGAACAAACTGCGCACCAGTACAGTGCCTTGGGGCAACCGAAGTGGTGGGCATTGGAATTGAAATCCGTATACTGGATCAGAACTATCACAATGCTTTCGACTGCTTGGAAGGAAGTTTATTCCATCACAAGCCTCAAAGCCATGGGGGGACAAATTTCTTCTTCAGCAGTAACTACATTTTGAGCTCATCGTTCACTTTCCATTCGATTGATATGACATGTGGTGTCTCTTATGCTCTAATGCTCGGGCAGTACTAATACCTGAGTTTTGTTACGTACTTCGGACGTGTATTCGCGCTGAACATCTTATTTCTTGCCGGTAACCTCAAGATATAGTTAGAGATCGATGGTCGGAAACATTGCGTTATGGTCCGGTGAAATCTGGACAACGGTTTTGTATGGTCAGTGATAAATATACTCCTGGTTGAAATGGATGCAAGAACGCGCTCCCCATGCCAACCAGCACATATATTCTCGCAAATCACACGTTACACAGATTGTGATAGAAGGGTTGTCTGGGAACAGTGGTTCAGGATGACCTTTGCTGTATGATGCAATCCATGGAGGTATTGATAACCGGCAACTAATACGCATTGTCATCTTGTCAGCCATGCATCAACCCTCTGTGATTGCTGCATGTATGCGCACACGGTATCCGCAGTTATAAACCAATTGACGGTGTGACAAGCCACTTGCACTGCTGATGAGAGCAGGATATTTCAGAAGATGACAGTGGCGCTGAGCACTAGTCTTCCGGGGTGATCAAGGTAATCGGATTCATAGTTGAGATCACATCAGCGCCCTGAGCAGTTCAAGAATATGCCTTCTATTTTACTAGCAACGATTTGATCCTATGCTTCTCATATAAAGAATCCTATGGGGTTATTTAGCATTTATCTTTCACTCGTACTGGAACATTATTTCGTTGTCCATGGTCAACACATTTTTACGGCATTTCGTCTCCACATTAGGTACATCCTCAATTCCTGGAAGTTAAAAGTGTTGGTGTGACGAAGCGGGATGGCGAAACGCTTGCCACAGAACTGCTGATCTAAGAAGACCAGGCAAAATTCTGATTCGCTTTATTTGCCAGTAGCGTACATGAATATATACTAACGAAAGGTAGATTTTAATGTTCATATAAACACTGATAGAGTAAGGGGACTAGTTGAGGACAAGGGAAAGTTTGGCCATTTCTGGTTTTCAAAAATGTTTACTTTCTGTTAGCTCCAAATTGCACTACACGCTGATGACGCTAAACGGACATAGCTGGTAAATATATGATATTACACTTCTTACCTATTGTGTCTGTAAGCAAATAGATGTTCTTCAGCATTTCAGACAGAGGTCCACGGGATTCAAATTCACACGGGAAAGGGCTGACCAAACAGAAGTCTGACCAAATTAGTGAGTTCCAGTTGTTAGCTAATAATGCATATTGCGAAAGGCACGTTCAGATATCAGTGAGTGTGTCTTGGTGATGAAGCAACCCGCTTTTCTTATTTATATTTGATGTGCATTACTTCCTAGGGACTATATAGTAAAATTTGAGGCAAGCGATACGGACGCAGATCCGATTTGAACACTCATGCAGGGTTTACTCACAGCTTCGAGCAAGCGAGTTTCCCTGTAAGTTAGAAGACTAGCTGCCCCAATGCACATTATTAGTTGTATGACTGTTGTGTGTCTCAGTTACGTCAAGTGGTATATAGTTACTAGCCAGATGAATTTTCGAAAGAACGTGATAGACGCCAAGTTGTGAGAAGCGCGTCACTTATTGGATATCAGAACCAAAAAGAAAAGTCATGCTCGTGAAAGCGATAAGCGACTCACCGCTTGTCACTTTCCCAAAATCCACATATTTAAGGACCAGTTAAATTATGATTTTCTATTGGATAAGTGGAATGAGATTTCTATAGCCTCGCTGTCTCTGTATACAACCGTGAAGTAATGTCGTCGATTATAAAATCGAACGTACGAAAGTCGCTATAGAACCTATATAAGCCGTAAAATGTTGTAATGAACGGGCTATATGAACTCAACAAACTGATACTTTCAGTCTCGGATAGATTGTACAACAGAACAAAAGGTGTTTCAACATCAAGCATACAACATGACGTATACCCGTGATTATCGGGCACAAGTAACAGCTTAAACACACTTGCGTGCAATTTCAATGTACTGAAGCGCTTTTCATGTTAATCCGATTTTGTAATCACCACTCTATGCATTTAAATAGAAATGATTAACTTTACCGGACCAGTAAACATTGTCTAAAATAATCAGCTGAGGTGCTACACATTTCTTTGTCCCATCAGCTTCACTTGGCATATGACAATGCTTGCAAAACAGGCAGAAAATTATTTTTTTATCATTCAGGTGGTTTCCTAGGCAAGCTATCGAAATCATTCGGTACAATTACTCTAAATCCGTTTTCACGTAACGCGTGAATCATTAATCCTGCAAGCTTTATGTACATCCCTCCTACTCTTGTGGGGAAGCTTGGTTGCAGGAATGCTTTCCAAGTAATTATGCCTAAACCTCCAATAGCATCTTGGAAGAGTCTAACTTAAAACCAACTGGGCAAGTGCCAACAATGTTCCAAAAACAAGTCTTTGCAGATCGCTTCTCGAATCTTCAAAAACCAAGCCGGTTTATCGAGACTGTTACTCTCGCTATACAATCAAAGTCACTTGCAATGCATATCTCCATATCATGTTACGATGTTAGGCAGTTATTATCAGGAGCATTGCTTTTGCGTTGGAAGGTTTGCTGAAACAAAACCCGCAGTAGTTGTACTATAGCAGTAGTTACCGATGGAGCAAGCGTAATCACCAACAACCTAATTACACCTTCTGTATAATTTGAGCTGCTTTCAGACATCATTCAAGCTGTTTTTTGGTTGCGAAGCATTAGCTTTTCGAAGCAAATTCGCTATGGAGTTGTGATAAGGGGTCGCTTCTCAATTAGTTTTGCGTCGCCAGCTAGTCATAGTAAACTCAATCGGGTCTGCCGGTAGTGTATCACGTGTGTACTTGACGTACATTGTATGTTGTTTACCTCTCCTTCTCCGTGTCAAAAAAACCAGCGAAGAGGCAATTGAGTAAACAAGCATTATACGTAAAGCTTAAAATCTACGTGGATCTCAGACCAGCTGGTAGACTACACCTTCTTGGTCGCTACCCCTAATAGACTCCCAACGAAACCTATTTCTTAGTATCCAATTCCAGGTGACTAATTCCACACGACTGGCGATCTTCATTCACTACATACTATAAGTTCCTAGGCTGACTCCGTCGAGAACTCAAAGCGGTGCAAGCGCGAAGCTTGTCACAAAATCCACCTCGACGTACCATGCCTGTCAGAACATGGAAAATCAAGTCCATTTGCGCGACTTCTTCGTAGTATCGTCCTAATTCTCCGTTCCGCTCCATCCCATCATACGCAACGTATCGGCGGCGGTTGATATTTGTGTACCACGTGTCCTTGGTCTGCAGCGATCCATGCTTTCATAGAGTTCCTCACGCCGCCTCGGTTTAACACATGCTACAAATTAGAAAGGCACTACACTCTACCACCTCCAGAGTTTCCGCGACCGTCGATCACACACGCAGTCTCTCCGAACTTCCAGGCTAATCCTTGAATACCGAAATATCTTCTCCATGTTCGTACCACTTCCTCACCTCGCTGTCGTGATTTTGCCGAGCAATGGTATATACCGGCCTCCGTTTACTGATTACGTTATACCGTCCCTTCCATATCGGCAGGATTTCCCTGTCGTCTGGGGCATTTGCAGTAGCACTTTGGTAATCTACGTACTTAATTTTCGGACTTGCTTGAAAGTCACCGGACGGCTTTTTCATCTTGGCTTGAAACTTATCCGTTATCTGTTTCTGAGTTGACCTCATGTTTCGGTTCGCCATCTTTTTGTTTTATGTGCTTCAATTAGTGGTTACTGGAAGGCCGGCCATACTCCCAAATCCAGACCCACAGGAAGTCGATTACTGCGGCTGTACATTAACTGGAATTAGGACCTCTTCCTGCACGCTTGCCTGGATCGCCGATAAGTTATCAGGAGCAGTGGTGAAGCTTCTTCTCCACCTCTCCGCATCGCCGCCAGCCATTATTCAATCGTCCTATTACCATCCTCCATCAATCAGTTTGTCTGAGGATGGTAGGGAGTGGTTCCTAGCTTCTTGGGGCCCAGGTTCTCCAAACATTTCCGGAACTTGCCACTTTCAAAGCATGGATCTTCGTCTATTGTCTCCGGAATCACGTGGCCCGATAGCACGGGTTTTAGCATGGAATGTGTTATCGTGCCAGCCGGTTGATCCGGAATCTCTGCGGACGCATTCCACCAGGTGAAGTGCTCGGTTATCACGGCTACGTATAGACTTCCTCATTTTGTTAACGAGAACGGCCCCAGCTCCTCGACTTACTACCACTCACCAATCTCGGACACTGGAATATAGAGCATAGATTATGGTGTTTCTCGATTGGCTCCCTTCAAGTGCTGACGCTGCACGTATGTATCGACGTCTTTTTTATGTCTGGCCAGCAAGCTGCCTGTCTAAGCACCCGCTGTGAGCCATAACGTGACAAGAAATTACCAAATTTTTCCTCCATTTCGGAAGAATCACCGGTGCCGTAGTAGCGTATCGCCCTTGTGCCCACATCAGAATTCTGGCTTCCTTGACCTTTAGCCTTTCCAGACTCTTTACGAACGGCCCGAAATACTGGCCCTGGTTTTCTGTTGCAGCAGCTTGATTCATTATTTGTGCTATCTTCCTGCTCAGGAGCATGTACATCCGTTGTTCAGCCTTCAAATTTCCCGGATCCTGCTTCAGCACTAAACAACTGACACCGAAGGCGACACTCGGCAATTCGTCCTCGTTCCTCACGCGCGAGAAAATCCGCCGTTCCGTTGTTTTGCTCTAAAGTGTGGTTTATCTGGAAGTCCTATTTATGTAGGAGCAGCACCCATGTTACCAACCTGCCTCTATAGGCTTTGGAGGACTTATTACTTTACAGCAGTTGTGATCTGTTTTGACGTGAAATCATCGACCCACCAAGCACGGTCGCCAATTGCCCAGTGCCCAAACAATTGCCGTGCACTCTTTCTCCATTCTCGTTAGCGTTAAAATTCTGCTGGCCTATTCGATCTTTCCCTGCTTTTGCTGCAGCACCCTATCGATCCTGACGTCGCTTGCGTCTGTGGTTACCATGAAGATTTCTCTGGAGATCGGCAATTTCAACGTTAGTTCGTGCTTCGCATTCTACTTCGGAATATTCTCAAACGCTGGCCGAGCTATTGCCACCCAAATGAATTGCTTTCTCACTCCAGGTGCTAAGCTGTTAACATTCCTGGCGAACTTACCGAATTATCCGACGCGGTCTAAAGTGACCTAAGGCTGTGTTTTGAGGTTCAAACAATACATTCCCCGGCAGTGATTTAGTTTACCTTGATTCGCCTTGTAAACAAACATTGTCAGAAACAATTTGCTGATTTGAGATTTTAGTCCATTTATCCGTAATCCCGACTGCTTCATTTTTGTAGCGTTTCTTCCACGGTTACATTCCCTAATCCATCCAGCAGGCGCAGCATCAAACGCCGGAAAGTGAATGGGGCACAAGGCAATCCAAACAGCATACCATTAGATTGGTACTGCTTCTCGTCGACCATAAATCCTGTCTCCTAGTTCCCTTGTTTGATAGTCAGTTGCCAGTCACCACCGTTCATGTCCAATACCACGAATATGCTTGAGTTCTGCAACTTTTGGAGAATGTCTGTGATCGATACCACCTGGACAAGATAAGAGCGAGATTTCCTTCTGCCATCTGTAGTCCAGGCCAAATTGGTAGTTCCCGTTGATCTTCAACCAAACGACTGGGCACTTCTGGAGCCTATGAGCCACTTCGATTACACCTGCCTTTAACATCTCTGCACCTAACCTCTGACCCCAGCGTCCAAAAGTATTGGTATTCTTCTGAGTGCAGTCGTTCCATACGGTTGATGCAACAGCTGAAGTGTGTGTTTGATCTGGTTGCCAAAACCGTAAGCACTACTATTCTCCGTAAATAGGTCGTACTTGCTGATCAGCGATTGAGTGGTCGAGCTTGTGTATAAAACAGCAACCATTGAGCACACCTATATGTATCTTGCTGTGCCAATCAGTGATATAGCCGCGTATTTCGTCATCAGCTTTCTTCGCTTCAGGTCGACGATGGTCTCGCTAACTTAGTGAAAGTCTGTCCCCAGTATTCTCTGTTTTACGTCAGGCGACACGACAAATAGATGCTTGAATTTCCGACCACGGATACCAACCACATACTCGTTCATACCATCTCTTTGTACATAGAAATCACCGACGGCCCTCAGCCCTATGAAAAGCGACTGGGATTTAATC